GCGTTGCTGGCTGAGGAATTCTGGGAGTTGAAGTCCACAAGTCTTAAAAGTTCCCAAGGATGGGCACCCCTGTCCTAAAGGAAGATTAAGAAACTGCAGTGTGTGTTTTGCTCTATTTTGCAACCTTTCTAGCCACTGTTGCCAAGTGAATCCCTGCGGGTTGTTCAGTTAGCAACACGGTCATTAAGTGAATTTGCCTTCTTCCCATTGACTGTGCTAGTTAGGAGGTGGCAAAAAGTCGATCCCAAGAATTCTTTTTTTGAGTCCCTTCGTCGCCGAAGTGGCCAGACAGAATCTCCAAGAATCTAATCTGAGCCTGGCATTTTCAGGAAGGAAAACCTTGCATAAAGAGGGACACAAAACTGGAGAAGGGCTCTGGGGCAATTGAAAAGAAAATAATAATCCCCACCCCCCCCCCCCCCCCCGCAGCCTGAAATCAAAGGTGTCCGAAGAACGCTTGATTTGAATCCGTTTCTAGAAGCGGCCGTTGTTAGGAATATAAGTCACCTAACAGGTATTTGGGTTAGAAATATATAAACCAGGATAGACATTTTAATGCTGTCTCTTTAAGAGCATGCTAAAAACTGCAATTAGGTGTGGTTTCTCAAACGGCCACAAGATGGAGCCAGAAACCTGGTTTGTCTTAGTCTTAGTCTCAGAAGAGAGTGTGTCTGAGTGAGTATCTCTGTTTCCTTCTGTTGGAAAGTATTGCCGTTGCTCCATTTTTTCCTAATGGACTGATATTCATGAATTTAATGTAAGTTTGATCCTGAACTGTTCTTGACACTGGAATTTTATATTTGGATTATCCCTGGATGAAAACTGACTGATTTTACCTGTGAATGACTTTGGACTGCCTATTTTGGACTTCACTTAACATTTTTGGAAGTAAAAACCTACATTTACTGTACAGTGTATCGGTGTGCTGTGTGTGTATTATTCAAACACTTCTCTCAAATACGTCTCCCTGTATGCGCTCATTCTCCTAACGGGGAATTACCTCAACAGCCATCGGGGAAATAACCGGGCTATGAACCAAGAATGTTAGCTATTCCTTCCGGCATTAGCAGCTGTTGCTTCTCGACACAAGGAACAAGTTGGTCTTGGGCTTCTTTGCTGAGTCACTTGTAGCCCTACAACACTGGCTTCCAAGATGGTTTTTTTGTAGGTATATGTGTAATTTTACACAGGTTGCTCTCGATGTTGTGATTCGCTGGCAGCAGGTGTGGGTGGCTGAGGTCTCAGAGAGCAAGGACTGAGATGAGGGGCCTGCGTGTGATGTAGGAATGGGGCCAGGACCATCAGGGAGTGGAGTGCTGCCTTCGGAGATTGTGGAGGCTGGCAGCGGTGATGAAGAGGAGCCTGAGGAGCCTGTGCCCAGTGTGCGCAGGGCTGCTCGAAGGAAAGAGCAGCTGCAGCAGCACAGGGGACTCAGGAGTAAGGCTGCAAGGTGATGGCCCCTCCCTTAAGGGATAAAAGCCAGCCTGAGAGACCGGAGTTCTTTGCAGGAAGCAAAGAAGCTCTTCTACTTGAAGCCTTGTGGAAGTTCAGACTATCTTGGTTTATTGTTGCAAGACTTTTTGTTTGGAATATTTCTTGGCAACTTAATCTTTAGTGTTCTTGGCAGCCTTGCACAACCTTGGCAAGGCTCGTTCTTATCAGAGACAATTAGTTTTCATAGCCTTTTAACCGTGAATTAACAGAATTCGCAGAGAAGCATTAAAAGGTTTTGCTTTTATCTCTATTTGGTGTTTGTTTACTTGGAACGAGGTTTGGGTCAGAACACTCGCAAGCGAGTTGGGCCGTCTCAAAATCTGACAAATAAACAAACAGAAAATAGAACTACAGGTAGATTTTTAGGTCCATTTATGATCAGAACTGAGCCCAACGTTTCTGTTGTTAAACGGGACAGCTAAGTCTGTCCCATTTTACGACCTTTATTGCCACCGTTATTAAGTGAATCTCTGCAGCTGTTGAGCGAATCTGGCTTCCCCATGGACTTCGCTGGTAAGAAGGTCGCAAAGGGGATCACGTGACCCCAGAACACCAAAAACTGTCCTAAGTACATGCCAGTTGCCAAGCGTTCTGAATTTTGACCAGCTGGCCATGGGGATTCCTCCACCCTCAGGTGAAAAATAAGTCGCTTTTTTCAGTTCCAACGGTCACTCAGTGAACAGTTGAACGTTGAGGGCTGCTTGCAGGATTCTGCTCCAGAAGGGCCCAATGTTTTTGATTTCCCACAAAACCCTTCGCTTCTTTCTCGGTTCGGCCTGGGTGGGAATGTGAGGAGCCCTGGGCTGTGCAGCTACCTGAAATGAATCTGGCTCCCAGAGCTTCTGCCCTCCCCCACCTCCCCCCGTTAGCAAAGCAGGAGAGGAGATACGTACCCTTCCCCAGCTGCACAAAGCCCAGGGTGATGATCAAGGCCAGGGCCAGGAGCTTGGCAGCTGCAAAGGCATCCTGCACACGAGTAGCCGCCTTCACGCTGTAGCAGTTCACCGCTGTGAGCAACACTGGAGAGAAACACACCAGAAAGAGGAACGAGTAAGTAAATCTGCAGGCATCCCCACCCCCCACCCCCCAAAAAACTCAGCATGGCTCAGGAGCTGAAGGCCAAAAGTTCATACAAAGTAATCCCACTCGCTTAATATGATTATTTTCCATGTAATTAACAGCTTATCGTAATTCCTAAATACAGGAAGGACCTACATGGGATCACGGTGGTACCCAAACCAACCCAAACCTTTTGAAATGTCTTTAAGTCAGAAGAAAACAGGTGTCAGCTACAACGCACGGGGCAAGGACTGTAGTAACCACTGTGTAGGACACAGGGGCAAAAGACTGGCAGAGAATATCCACGACCACAGGCAGAAGACACGGTGAACTCTTCTTAACTGCGTAACACGTGGACAGACTCAACCGTAGTTTCACCTGAGAAACTGGGAGCCTCCTAGACGGAGCTCAATCCTACCACGCAGAGAATTCCTGGAAGCTTCGCCTTCGGATAAACCAGACTCCAACAGATAAAACTGTATTTAGACACCATTCAAAAGAGACAATGAAAAAAGCTAACCAGGAAACAAAAACGCCTCCTCTCCAGCAACCAACAGTGAGATAAGCGGGGATTAACGCGAGACAAACCCTCAGGCAGAAAACAATAATCGAAGAACTACCAAGGTGGAAACTGCACCCCAACAATCCAGGTAGGGCAAGCCACTGTAGATAAACAGGGAACAAACCCTACATACAGCAGCCCTGGGGGTGTTAGGTCATGAAACGCCTGCAAACCAGGCACCCAGCTCGGAGCACCACAGAACTGGGCAGATTGCATCCTTTTGTGTATTGATGCATCATGTACGTGGAAGGAAATTGCAGCCTGGTAGCACCTTCTGTGTCCAACTTTCTACCTTGGAGGAGGAGGAGGCTTAATTCCACACTGCTGCCACAGACGTTTTGCTCTGTGTGCCCTCCGTGTGCCGTACTGCCTTTGGCTGGGTCTCTAACGCGGCCTTGTAAGGCTGGAGGCAAAGGATCAGAGCACCCTGATTGATGGATTTGCTTTTCAAATAAACTGGGCTTTCTCTCCCGCTCTGTTCCCAAACAGTCACGAGCTACCTTGTTGTGTGTCCCACCCCCGCTAAGCACCCACGACGAAGCCCAGACAAGGAAGAACCCGCAAATCCCCTTCTGGCTTCGCCTACGTCCTTGGAGAGGCTTTGCTGATGCAATTGGCAAGGATCTCTTAAGGTGGACGGAGAAAACGAGAGGGCTGCTTCCTCTTCTTCGGAAAGAGATGTGTTGACTCAACTTCCGCCTCCTTCCCTTCCTGGCTCAAGCAACAGAGGCCGGAGATTGCATCACCCACCCCAGCCTGATCCACTCAGCCACCTTGGCGGTTTCCCCCCTCCCCACCCCCCCACCCCCATGTTTGCAGAGTTCGGGCCGCCAGCCAAAAGTGGCAGAAGCCAAGAAGGTCCTCTCCTAAGGTGGAAACTAGAAATGTCACAGGGCCCAGGGCTGCTACAGCGCTAAATATAATCCCAGGCAGGGATTATGCAAAGAGCAGAGGGGCCCCACTGCTGGTCCCTCTCGATATCTCTACTTGCTTAGCTGGAAGAGTCCAGCCATTTCTCTCTCGTGCTCTTTTTAAAATATTTACAGGCTCAGAGGTGCAAGGAGGAGAGTTAATCCTTTGAGTCCACAAGAGCCCCAACCAGGACAACTGCACCCGAGAAGCTCTTGGTTTCACCACTGGGTTTACTCTCCACTGGATGTTCAGCCAAGGGACTTAGAACCTTTCCAGGGGATTAAAGCCCATCTCAGCCCTTTGGCTCTGCAAACATGGAGATCACCGTGCATTATCTCCAGAGGGTTCAAGGGAGCATTGCAACTGGACAACTGGGACTATGAACGCCCCCTCAAAGTGCAGATTCCAAGACCCATAAAAGAACATATGCAAAGTGGGTCATTCTCCAGGGTTCAGGCTGGGGCTGTTGGGATTTTTGTAGCTCTCAACCACTGAAAAGCTAAATATTCTTGGACTCAATGGATGGAATAAGTTTTGTCGTCTGTAGGAACAACGGCCATAAGATTCCAGTTGTCAGTGATGCTCTCCGCAACGGAAGCTCTTTGGTGGCGCAAGGAAGGGATTCTTGTTGAGAGAATCAAAGAAAGTTGGAGCAGCCACGCTGCTGGGGTGAGGGGTCCTACTGGCAAGGAGAGGGGGCTTCTCTTTATTTACCACCCCTCCCAGCCCAACAACTGGCCATTCTTTCCATTTTACCTTCTGACCGTGTGGGGGAAGAAGGTCTACAATCTGTAGACTGGCCTCACAAGATTCTGCAAGTGAAAGATAACCACTATCAGGGGGGAACAAATATGGTGCTTAGACCACGTGGTTAGACCACGTAGACCGGGGTGGGGGGGATTTTAAAATGAATGTCAGCAACAAAGCTGCAGTCATCCCTTCAGCCCCCCCACCCCTGAAGTCTCTGAACTCAAGCCAAGAACAAGAAGACAACCTCCTTGCCAACCTCCAATGGTTCTTCTTTTTCCAAACAACCAATCCACCCAGGAGAAGTCTTATGAATGCAACGTTTTCAGACAAACTTTAGAAGAGGGAAAAGCCACCTCTTGGACAAGGTTGAACCCCTTTCTTCTCTTCCAAGACTTCACTTGGGCTGAAGTTAGCAGCTTACACAAGAATCCCGCCATCAGTTGACTAGAAACGGGTCAAGAATGTACCCCAACTGAGATCAGAGTTGGCAAGGACAACCCCAAGCTGGAGAGAGACTGGCGTCCTCTTCTCAGCTGCCCCCAAAACCAGTTTGTCTGTTTCGTCCCTATAAATAGGCCTTTTGTCTCCATAGGCTCGTGACCCAATTTCTAAATCATTATAATCCAAGAAGGCCGGTCACTCCAGAACAAGTTTAAAAGAAAAAAGAAAAAAGATCAGGACAGGAGGAAGAAACCAAACCGAACCGTGGGGTTTTTTTGGCTTGACTGCCACAAACCGTCCTGCTTGCGAAGAATCAACCAAGGATCTACCAGCCATTTGGCTGGCAAGCAGCCAAGCATCTTGTTGCAGGTAGTAGCTTATTTAAATCCGAGCCTTGTCCAAGATCATCCCTCAGGCCTAACCCAAATCCCAGGGTTTTTGCTTCAAAGAAATAGAAGAAAATACTTGCCAGTCTAGAAATACACAAAGGATTTTAAAACTGGGTTAAAACACACCAGATGCCAAGGAGAAGAGAGAGAGAGAGAGAGAGATTTGAAGGAAGTGCAAAACCTTTTCATTATCTGCACTGCAAGAACTTCTGAAACTGAATTATTTCCAGCTCTGAATTCATCTCTCCCCTTTCACCAAGGGGAGTCCAACCCATCTTTTGTACAGTTGTTGTGTTTTAAAGTTCCTACGATGGTTCCTGTGAAACCATCTCTCCTGGCCTTCAATTCTCTCTGATTTGTTCAATGTATGGAACAAGCGAGCAGGTAAACCCTGTTATAAGAAGGGACAAGATTTCCCTGCTCACGGCATTAACTTGTTTTCTGGGTCCTCCACTACGCTGGAACCATAAATTAACCAGAGGGGACGAGTTCGACAAGCAAAGAATAACCCAAGGTTAACATTAATCAAATTTTGTGGATGGTGTAATCTTAACCAGATGCATTATTGCGATTCTGGCTTGCTTTACAAAGCACGCATTTATAATTTGATTGGACATGTTGGGTGAACTCCAGCCCCTGGGCTTTCAGGCCGTGATTTAGGATCGAGGATGTTGTACGATGTTGGCCCATTGTGGTTGAATGGATCCTCAGTTCACATAATGCAGAAACCCAATCACTGGTTTGGAGCAGAGAAATAAGAGGTACGGAAGTCCAAGTCGCAAGAAACAACAACGGCTCCTGTTTTTTTGGGGTGTGTGTGTGTGAAACCACCATCCATCCACTGAATTATCCTGGCTGTAAATTGTAGGAGGTGCAATACAGGCATATTTATGTCTGGAAAGTCTAAAGATCTTGTAAGCATCAGGACACATCTAGTCAACAGTGAGACCATTCAAGACAGACTGGCACATACACCCCGTCAAGTTTTGGGATGTGATGTATTTTTGCTTTGCTCCCGGCGAAGAAATGGCCACAGAAGCTGTGTGTCGAGATCTTGCACAGTCAGGGAAAAACAACTGCGCCGCAGATTGTACGGTTGTGAAAACAAAGAAAGATGGGAGTGAGCCAATCGATGGGAAATGCCAGAAGATTCAAACATTTATTTCTCTCCATCGGGTTCCTTCTACAATCACTGCAGTCCCTGGACTTCTTGGCAGGGCGTCTCACTTTCTCCAGCAAATCTGCCCGTTGTGCTGTTCTTGGCAACTCACTTGTGATTCACACTCGCCTGCGGGATGGAGGAGGGTGGTAGAGGCTGTTGTCCTGCGGTCCACAGATTCCCCTCCTGGGCTGAGCACCCCAAAAGGTTTCGGAAGCTGCTCATCCTTTATCGCCTCCCAAAGAGGGCGGAAAAAGGACACCTGAGGCACCCAACAACATGTTCTCAGCCAGCCGGCACGGATGGCTCGAGTTGCTTTTCCCATCACCCGAATAGGCTCTGAGTAACAGTGAACCAAACCTGGCCAGGTGCACTGAGCAGGAAAAAAGGGGGTTAGCGAGGGCCATGGAGGGGAGGGGGTTGCACTTTTACTCGCACCAATTGTCATGTTTTGCACCAGAAGAGCAAACAATGAGGCCTCGGACCCCAGTAGGTCCAATTCCAACATAAATAACTGCATTTTTTTTAAAGATAACCAAAAGGACTCTTTATTAAGCACCGGGTAAAAAAATTAAATGCACAATGCTAAAGGCCTGTTTCCAAATTCCTGTGATGTTACGCTGATGCTGCTTCACCAACTAGCTGACCGTGGGCCAAACCCGGCCCGGAAATAATGCCAGGTTGGCCCAACAGGCAAAAAATAGGCCCATCCATGCTGGCCAGAGATCGGCCAATAATCTCCTGGGCCTCTGCCATCCTTGCAAATCTGCAGCTAAGACGATCAGCGGAAAAAAAAAAAAAGGAACACAAACAGTCCAGACATCATGTGCACAGTTGCTAGGCAATGCCAGCTCTTGCTGCTACGGATTCTGTCGTAACCTAGCAGCAAGGTGGGAGCCCGTGTGGTTGCTGAGCAACGGCACATGATGCCCCCTCCCCAACCTCACGTATTCCTTCTGTGCGCCTCCCTTCCCAGCCAGCCAGGTGGAAAATGGCTGCAGCGCCTCAAATCAAAACAGTCGCTGGCGGGAGGAAGAAGTAGCGGCGGCAGCTGCAACTGATCTGATGCCACGTGGTATATTGTCACCTTTTGTGCATTGTATTATACGTGGCACCCTTGTTTCCACGTGGTTTTGATTTTTTTGAGGGGCCGCAGCCGTAGACCTGGTCCAAATAAATAAATCGGCACAGCCCCGTGCCCACGTGGGCATTTAGAGGCACGTGGTGCCATTGCGGGACTCAGCCCAATTCTCAGCGCCCAAGGACAAGGTCCTTCAGGTTTGGCAATGAAACCCACATAATTTCTCGGTCCAGCCTGCAGAAAGTGAATGGGCACAAAACAAGGGCGCTCCCTCTGCCCTCTGTCCCCAGAGGTTCTCTCTCTAGCCAAGGGAGCCCTTCAGTAGCCCATCCAGGGAGGCCCTGCTGAATCATTCCACCAAGGGTCTTCTCTGTCACTTTTTTTCCAACCTAAGCCCCAATTCAGCCACGTTGGTTCGTGGGAAGGACCTCGGGAGAGAGGAGAAAGAGCTGTCAATCTAGCCAACGCTCCTGCCAAAGGCATCTCCGTGTAGAAAAGGAAAAGGGGTGTGGGAAGCGCTTCAGAAGGGGCCCTCCCTAGTTTTCTGCAAAACAAACACGAAGGCAGCGCTTCCAGCTTTGCAGGATTCCGCTACTCTAAGCTTCCGATAAGAGTAGTAGTCCCCAGTATGTGCGTCTTGTCTGGCCTCCCTGGCAGGGCGGACGAAGAAGACAAGGCGAACCTTGGAGCAGCCGGCCTGCAAGCAAGCAGATAAGCTCCTTCCCATCTTCACAGGGGGGTGATGGAAGAGATGAACCCTCCACTGGGGACAGAAAAAGCCTCCCTTGAGGTCAGCAAGACTTTCTCCTGGAGCTGCAAGGTTGCAGTTGTTTTAAAACCAAACCAATAAACCCCCCAAAGCCACCCTGAGGCCAACGCCTTTGTCTTCCAAGGAGCCTTTGGGGCTGTCCTCAATGGCCACCTTCCCATCCGCCAATCACAGACTATATCACAGTCTTTTAAAGCTGCCCAGGGCCCTCCTCCTCCTCCATGAACCGAAGCACCTGGAGACCAAGAGGCGGAAGACTGATAGAAATCCATCAAACGGTTGAGCGAGCAAAGGAACAAAACCAGTCAACCTTCCCCAGAGCACCTTCTTCAACCGGGTGCCCTCCAGGTGCCCCTCAAAGACCCTTCTCTGCTTTCGCGTCTTCTCTGGAGTTATCCCCCAGCCGGGAGTTGCCATTTTATTGTGCCAAGGAAAATTCTGCGAAAGTGGCACGACTCTTAAGCGCTCCTCTGCCCACAAGACAGTTGTGTGTGGGGAGGGGGGGGGAGAGAGAAGAAGTGGAAAAGTGACTTATTCACACAGCCACATCTGCACCGGGTTTCAGGCGTAGATAGAAGTGGGGGGTGTCCAGACATGCAAATTTGGGCTTCTCAATAATTCAGTATAAACTGTGGGGAAGCAGTTAGTGCTTTAGCACTAACTACTCGGTTCTTCTGGGATACTTAAAATTTTGTTTTCTGTCCTTCTTCAAAACGGCTGGGGATTTTTGCTTTGTGTCCTAAGAAATGGGTGGCATATTAACTCTTAGGGAGGGAGGGAAGGAGGCTCAACAGGGATTTGGGCTCAAGGAAGTTGAGGAAAAAGCTCAACCTTTTTTATTCAGCCACTCATTTCATTCGGCAATTCAGCGGCGATCCAACGAAAATATTCCATCTGAAATTCGGGCTCTCCTCTCCCCTCTCTCAAGGTGTCTTAGTGGCCTCCCAGATTAGCCATCCCATCATCCTCAGCCAGCATGGATGCCCACAGATCAAAGCGACAAAACTCTTTTATCAAAAAAAAAAAAAGAGAGAGAGAGAGAAACCTCCAGGAACCCATTGCAGCTGCATTCCACAGTTTACCCCGCGGTGGTTTAGTCTCAAGTCTTGCAACATCCAACCGATCACGGATTATTTAGCAAGCTATGATGAAGCAAACCACAGTTTAGCATCAGCACAAATCCTGTTTTTGAGCCCTTTTGGAGGGAGGCCAGAAGAAGCAGAAATCTCCTGGGAAAAAATGCTAACTCCCAGGCAGAAATCCTCTTGTTTGCAACTTCTGAGTTCAACCTCTTCCCTCCCAGCCTGGTTTTTCTGCCTGGGACCTTGAGAAATTGCTGTCAAACAGAAATCAACAATGCAGGCCCGGATGGATACAAAGGAGCCGGTCAGAATTTGCAAACAAACTTGGAAAGGTGGAGGTTGCTTTTCCCCCAAATAAATGCAAAGCATCTCAGCGAAGTTTAGAGGGAAGGGGAAAAAAAGGAGCTGGCCCTGAATGTGCAGGGACCCCACGCTTCTAGTTTACCACTAAGCCCCTGCACCGTGGAAGCCCCCCCGTTTCGATGAGATGGGCGCTTAGGAGGGCAGGGGGGGCGAGGCGAGGAGCCCCCGACCCTTTCTTTCCCTGGGTTTCTCTCCCACGTGGAGAAAGTCAGCCGCTTCCTCCCAGCGGAGCAAACTTCCAGCCCCTCCTCGCGGGGAGGGGAAGGCCAAGCAGCGGGTGGGGCTTTGCAGGGGGAAGGGTTTCCCATCCCGAAGCCCCACCCCACCGAGACAACATGGCCCTCCGGTTCTGGAGGAGGGAAATCAAAGCCCGCTCCAGATTCAATGCCCAACCTGGGAGCATCTGGGCGCTTCGCCCAAGGAAGGCGCAGGGGTCCCTTTCTCCCGTGGGGGGTGGGAGAAGGGAGCGGCAAACCCCCCCGCCCTCTGCAACGAAGCACAATGTGGTTGACCCCAATTCTCCGCCGGATGCGGCGCAGAGCCTACAACCCACGTCAGAGCCGGAGCCATGGTGGCCAAAGAGACAGCGCTACATTGTGGGACGAGAAACCGGGGGGGGGGGGGGGCGGGGGGGGGGGGGGGGGGGGGGGGGCCGCCAAGGGGGCGGCATGGAATGGGGGGCGGGCGTTGATGGCGGGCGGCGGGGGCGGGGGGGGGGGGGGGCGCTTGGAGAGCCTCAACCAGATAGCTGGGATTTGGGGGGCGATTGCTGGAAACCCTCGGCGGGGCGGAGGTCGGACTATAGAAAGGCGAACTGGTTCCCCAAGCGAGGCTCCGCTGCACCGGGAGGCGGCCAAAGCCCCGCTCCGCCTTGGATCCCGGAGCCCAGCAGCCCCGAAGCCGCTGGAAACCGGCGCTCGCAGACTCAGCGCCGCTTCGCTCGCCCCAGAGAGGCCGGCTTGGCCGGGACCCGGACCCGAGCGGAGGGCGGGCAGGGCAGGAGGAGCCTCGGGGGAAACTTTGGCGGAGTCCCGCGAGCCTCGGCCGAGGGTGGGACGCGCGGCTCTTCCCTTCCCCGGGCCGGGCAGGAGGGCGGCTGATGTCAGCGCCGCTTCCAACCGCCGGAGGGAAGCCGGTTGCGCAGCCCGTCCGGGGACGGGGAAGGGCCGTACGACTGCCCCCACCCGGCCAGGCTCTCCCCCTCCTTCCCTCCCTCCCTCCCTTCCTCCCCGCTCCGGCCGCCCTCTGCACATGCTCGGGTCTACTCACGCACGCAGAGGCAGGCGATGAGCTTGGTGGCGCCCAGCGGGACGGGGCAGGTGGGGAAGAGAGGCTTGAGCAGGTAGGTGGCGAAGACGAAGGCCACGATGTACTGCGAGGAGGGCCGGATGATGAGCAGCTCGATCCAGAGCTTGAGGAAGGCGGGCAGCGAGCCGTAGACCTCCAGCATGTAGGCGTAGTCGCCGCCCGACTTGGAGATGGTGGTGCCCAGCTCGGCGTAGCAGAGGGCGCCCGCGATGGAGAAGGCGCCGCACGCCGCCCACACCACCAGCGCCAGCCCGGGCGAGCCGGCCTCCTTCAGCACCCCGGTGGGCGTCACGAAGATGCCCGAGCCGATGATGGTGCCCACGATGATGGCCACGCCGTTCAGCAGCGTGATGTTCCGCTTCAGCGCCACCCCCTCCTCGCCCGCCGCCCCGTCGGACGCCGCCACTGCCGCCGCCGCCGGGGCGCAGCCGTTGCCCCGCGGGCCCGCCAGCATCTCCCGCGCCTCCTCTTCCGCCGCTCCCGCCGATGCCGCCGACGCCGCCGAGCCGCGCTTCTTGGCCGAGCCGCCCGACATGGTCCAGCCGGAGGACGCGCCACGCGCTCGGCCCGCACCACGCGCCCTCGCCTTTTATCCGACGGAGCCGGTTGGGACCCGCCCCGGCGGCACGTGGGAAAGGCTCGCCCGCCGCAGCGCGCCCCGGCTGGCCGGCAGCAGCAGCAGCAGCACCAGCAGCAGGAGGAGGAGGAGGAGGAGGAAGGACGGGAGCGCGCTCAGCCTCCGCTGCGCGCCAGGCTCGGCAACCTTCTCGGCGGCGGCCGGCCCGGGCGCGCTCGCTTTGCCCTGGGAGCGCCGGAGCCCAGCGGTGAAACGCTGCCCGGGCTTCCCCCCACCAGGCCCGCCGTCGGCATTGCCGGGCCCCGGCAAAACGAGGGGGGGGCGTTGGTTTTCGTAATCAGTCCGGTGGGAGGAAATACCGGGTTTGGCCCTTTTGGCCAAGAAATCCCACTGCCAAATTTGGAACCTCCGCCCGACCATCCCATTTCGTAAGTCAGTAAGCAAATGCCATCCTTTTTATTTCCAAAACTCTGGAAGAGAGACTCTTCTCTGCCAAAACACAGCCTCCTTGAAAGACAGCGAAGTATAATTTTTGGAACGATGATAGTTTTAATTTTTATTTTTTCATCATTTTTAAAGCGATTATTCCTAGGGAGGGAGGGGCCCAGGGCAGCCAAAGTTGTTAGGCCCCTCGAAAGTCATCGGGCGGATGAAATTGGGATAGGTGGAGTTTGCAGCAGCTCTTCCTGCCTATCCGAAAGGCCCCCATTTCAGTGTCCAAGTGGAAAAGGAGATTTAAAAGCAGTTCCCATCAGTGGAATTACGGTGGTATGTCTAGACTGATGAAAAGAAGGAGAGAGGGGGCCATGATAGCACTGTTCCGATATTTGAGGAGCCACCACACAGAAGCGGGAGTCAACCTCTCTTCCAAAGCACCCAAAGGCAGGAGAAAAAGGAATGGATGGAAGGAGAGAAGCAACCCAGAATTGAGGAGAAATTTCCTGAGAATGGGAAGGAACGATTAACCAGTGGAACTGCTTGCCTCCAGAAGTTGTGGACCATCATTTGTCTGAAAGGGTAGAGGACCTCCTGCCTATTAGTCTATCTAGTGAATCATATTGGTTCTTGCATCTATTTTAAAGGGGTGCAGCATTTTCCAGTCTGGAAACCAACAAGACCTAGAACTTAAAAACACAGAAATCAAATCTCATCTCCCTCAATGCCTGTTTAGGCCATACCCAATTTATTGGAGGCAAATTATATTGTTGTATGTTCGTACATCCAAATAAATGAGTGGGAATAAAAAGAAAATGGATACATTCAGCTTACACTGAAGGCACCTTTCTTTGTAACTTGACATCCTTCAGGAAAGAGGCCAGGCAGCTGAGAGGTCAGGCAAACATTCTGTCTTTGAAAAGAGGCAAACATTCTGTCTTTGAAAAGACAGATAATTGCAGTCCGCTGGATTGGCTTGCCTTTATTGAAAGTGGGGTCCATGGTAATCTTTTCCACTATTGCCGTCATTCAGCCTATAATAAATATTTCCTTCCCGGTGTGCTGCAAATAGAACTGTAGGCTGTCAGTGCTTTTTCCTCCCATGAATTAGCAAAAGTGATTAGTATCTTAATGACCAACTGGGCTGTTCGGTTTTCACTGCTCTCTCACCTGCTTGTCCCCAGTGCTGGCTCATCAGCTGCAGAGAAAATAATATTTGCTCGAAGTACCAGATGTTACCTTAGGAGCAGATCTACAGATGTCGCATTTACCAGCTAAAGGCTTCGTGCAAGTTAAAATGTTAAAAGGTCTCCACAAATAAAACGAATCTTTAATATCCTGCAATAGTTAAACTGGCAATTTTCCCATGCAATTCAGAAGGGATCTGCATTACCAATCTACCCAGCTCACCCTAATTTATTTATTAAATTTATAAGCCTCCCATCTAACTGTTGAGCGACTCTTAGACTGTACAGCAATCCACCCTTTTGATTAAGGGAACTCCCCAAAGCTTCTGCCTTTTGAATAAAATTGGTCTCGCTGGAAAAAGTGCTACCTGATCCCTGCGTCTTTTTTTTTTTTTAAACCAACTACAGACTCATCCATCTCTCCGCTTACAAAATAAACAAACAGGCAAGTGTATATATTTAACTCTGTGGAGCTGACATGGCCCAAACTGGCCTTGATGCGGGCAGGTGGAAAACAAACAAACAAACCTAGCAGACAGATATCACATAACCTGAACATGAAAAGATGTTGTTGGTTGCCTGGAATAATCTTTGGAGTATTTGGTGGTTTTTTATTTTTCTCCTTGTCAGATTCTGCCCTCTAGTGGCCCCTGCCCAAAATTCCCATGTTTGCAAAAACTGCTGTAAATATAACATGTCCCTTGACAACAAAGGTCACGTTTGGGACGCTCTGTGCGCACCTTTCTTTGCCCCACATCTCTAGCAACATTAATTCCAGAAATGGAAGTTAGCGTTGCTCCCTGTTGATCTCTGGTGGTTTGCCTGGCCCATCTTGATGGGCTGTGCTTTTCTGCTTGGCGGTTCCTTGATTAGGGATTTGCTTTCTGCTTAATTGTTGGATTGCTTGATTGCCATCTTCTACTGGAACGTCATACCTGCTTGCCAAGGCATCTTGCAGATCCCTGGTGCAAGTTTACACCGGTGGCCAAGCCAGCCTTCTATTCCTCCTTCCACCTGGATGTCTCATGTCCTCTTTGCCAAGGGCGAGAGGCAGCTGTCCTTTTGCACACCGGTCTTGTAAAAAGTGTGTAAGAAGGCTGTTCCGAGTCCTTCCCCCGATATTGCTCTGCATTCAGCCACAAAAGCTTTTAAGGGGATTTGATTATGAAGACCGGCTCCCTGTGCGAAAGCCCAGGCGAGGGCAGGGCTGTCACATCAAAGGGATTTAGCCAAGGTTGGGAGATAAGGCAGAAGTGACCTCTCACATGATCTCCAGAAAACAAGCTGCTTCTTCTAAAAGCAAGCTAGTGGTTAACTCCACAGCATCTGGGGCACATCAACCAGGAAGGGTTGCACCCACCCAAGGAACCCTTCCCTCCTTACAGGACAGACTCTATCATCTATCTATCTATCTATCTATCTATCTATCTATCTATCTATCTATCTATCTATCTATCTATCTATCTATATCTATCTCTATCTAGATACACTTCTCTCTCTCTCTCTCTCTCTCTCTCTCCCTCCCTCCCTCTCTCCTCTGAAGTGAACAGGAGAAACTCATAATGTTGCTTTGGGCCATTTATCACCCCTTGGCTTCCTGGAGGAACGTTGTCCATGGAGACACGACTTCGCAATTAACAACAAAAAAGCTTCCTGAATGCAAGATATTCTGCTGCAAATGAAGTGTGAAGTGCCAGCCTTGTCACACACACACACACACACACACACACACACACACACGCGCGGTCTTCCTTCAGACGGCCTCTCTCATTTTTGAAAACTTGTCAATTTGCAGCATTTGGTTGCTCCGCAGATGGGTTTGACGGGCTCTCTTCATAGTCGCCTGGAAAGAACAGGCAGAAACAATAGTGTCCATAACACAAGCACACGTGTGTCGAGAGGACATATTTCCTGTGCTTCGGGGAAACCACAATGAACCTTCACATTATTCCTGAACAAGTGTTGCAGTCAAAACAGCAGGGTATTGTTTTCCCATCTCAATGCATTTTAGGAGATTTTTTTTTTTTAATCTAGTTGTTGTCGCTTCCCACACAATGAAACAATTCATTTTCCCTCCTTCTTCTTTCCCAAGGCAAACACAACTGAAATAACTTCTGGACAACAGAGAGAGAAAAGTTCGTATTTATTGTAAAGATGCGTAACAGCTTTAAGCTTCCTTTTTGCACTGTTTTTATAAACGCTGAATAGATTTGTGAATCAGGCCGCCTATTCCGATGCTTTTACATGTAGAGGAAGATACAAAACTTTGATATGAAAAACAGAAAGGCCAAGAAAGTCCCTGTCTTAATTGCCAAGACTGAGAAGCAGAGCTGTAAGTAAGACTACTTTTTAAAGTACTGTTGGTTTGTTTCTGCTTTGATCCGCACAAGTTAAGATTGTTAACACACAAGTCTTTCTACGGGGCTGACCAAGTTTTGAATGCCCCTGGTCAGTTTATGGCACATACTGTGTACTCACCAACCTCAAATGAAGGTTAGCAAGCTGCTACAGTGGATTGCCTGTTTTCCACAAGGTCAGGCACTGTGCAGGCTCTATGTAGGGTTTGTGTTTTAAAGGCTATCGCAGTGCTAAAGAATGAAAAAAAATAGGCATATTTACAATCTGGCAGGTTTTATGCATCAGCCAGTACACATATTTAGGATAGGAAACGGATCCTGTCATGTTTCCTTGCAACGTATATCATGCCTAAGTTAATATTTCCTTCTAAGTGCGCCTGGTTGTTTCATAGTCTGAAATCCATTCAAATCTGCTGATTTAAACAGAGAAAGTTTTCCTCTTGTTTCCTAGATCCCAAATAACCCGCAGCCTCTTGTATGTACAGAGACAGGGAAATTTCTGAGGGAGGAGAGGAACTGCTATAAAGTAGGAGCACTCGTTAGAGGTAGATGAGGGATAGGCCACCTGGAAGAGGTTTCTGCAACAGAATGGCCCTCAGGTGCATTAATACTATAATTCCCAGAACAATCGGCAAGTCAGGTTGTTATAATCCTGGCACCTGGGTTAAAGTAGCTTGAAACCAAAACAAATTCCTGCCCTCGTCAAATTGCATAAATTTCCTGTCTCCCTCCTGGTTCCTTAGAGGTCCTCCGAGGGGCCTTAGCCAACTGTTCGGCTCCTGCAGTGGAGCACCTACTGGTGGGGGGGAAGTGCCTGGACAGCAGAGGTGAGGCCTGAAGCCCTCACCTCTCTGGAGCTTTGATCTGTTCTCGGGAGAAGAGGCCAAGCAGTGCTCACACTACAAGCGCAGCCTTTTGGAAGAGGGAAGGACCAGAAATCTCCCGGCCCCTTTTGAAGCCACGGATCTTGTCCCCAGCTTGATGCTAAAGTACTTCGCAGGCGCAGCGAATA